AAAAAAAAAAAAAAAAAAAAAAAAAAACCACATGATCATATTGTGAAAACAAAAAAATCATAAAAATAAAAAATAACAAGTAAATTTAAGCCACCCCAAATCTCTTGTTCAATACAAAACATGACAAATTTAATGTCTAATTAACCCCAAAAATTCATTCTCAACATGCATAAAGACGAAACTCCATGAAGATGCGAGAAAAAAGAAAGAAGTGGAAAGATTAAGGTCAATAAATAGTTTTGTATCTCATATGAAGATGGAGAATTTAGGGAAGAAAAAAAAGGAAAGAAATAAAAGTGAAGAAAAAGATGATTAAATTTTTTATATCTAAAAAACGTGTCATAATAGAAGTTTTTAAAGAGGTATTAAAAAACAGATTAAAACTGACAGTTACAAAAATAAAAAGTTGTATTAAATATTGATTCCATGATTTTAATTTATAAATATTATTTATTAAGAACTTTTAATTTATAAATATTAATGAATATCTCTTACATGTGCATCGCACGTGATTCGTACTAGTTAATATAAAATCTATATATATAATAAAAATTACCATTTATCAAGAATAGTAAGTCAATCTTTGGTCAAAATTGGTCAACATTAATTACATGCCATTTAAGTATCTTTTTAATATTTATACTTATATCAAAAGTCATTCTATTTACTAAAATAGTAGCAAGAAAAGTCAACTTAGATTTAATGCATACTTTATTTAGAAATTTTTTACTATATGCATTAATTGCTTGCATATACACATTTCCTATTCAAATATGATCAAAAAGATTCTTTCCTTAAATAATTTTATTAACTTCTGCAATAAGTTTACTTAAATATATTATGATTCATATTTGACGATAGTATTTTTTAATTTTTATTTGAGTATATATAAAAAATATTTTTTAAAATTAATATTTTGTTTATCGTTTAAGAGATAATGATCACATCATTAAATGGTATTACTGATGGCTAGATAATAAATTAAAATACGTTAATTATTCTTTAAAATTTTGGCATGTTATTTATTTGTATATCTATAATTATTAAATAAGGTATCCTATTTGCCAAATTTAGTAGATTGAAAAGTCAATGTAATTAATGCATTGCTATTTCTCTACAGAATTTTATTTAATTATTTTATTTATTTATCTTATATCCCATAAAATCTGTTTAAGAAAAAAAATCCCATAACATCTGCAAGTAAAAAAAAGACGTAAAATCTTTACTAAAATAAAAAGACTTTATTTATTTGTCTTATTCCATATTAACATCGATTTTGTCAAAACAAATCCCATAAAATCAGTGAAGTCAAAATTTGTACGTAAAGTCTACCTATACTTAAAAAAAAGCCAGATTCAAAATTCTTTATCTAATTCCTTCTTTTCCTTATCTAATTCCTTTTTATTATCTAATTGTATGAAAATATGTTCTGATTTTGTTCAATCCTCTAATTGTATTTGTATTATATTCCATAAAATCGGTTTAATAAAAAAAAATCTCATAACATCCGATAAGTAAAAAAAACAAAGTACGTAAAATCTTTACTAAAATAAAAAAGACTTTATTTATTATCTAATTCATTATCTAAATTCTAATTGTATGGAAATCTGTTCTGATTTTATGGTACGTACTACAAATTGTGCACCCTGTTCAGGAGCTACTTAACGGGCAAGTTCTGTGGAAATGACTCATTTAGTGCT